TAGAAATCCCCACTCAGGCTCACAGCCCCTTCACAGTCTAGGAAGCCGGCCAATTCTCCAGGCCCATCTCACATGGGTGCCCCTGTGCAGGCAGCGATGTCGCTGGTGACGCACAGCATGCCTGCACAGCTCAGACTGGGTCAGGAGCTTCTTCAGGCTGCCGCCTTCCACCGATCCTTTCCCACCCACGGAAGCCCTGTGAGTCATGCATCCCCAGCGCCCTTCCTCACCGGCCGGCAGCAATCACCACACCTGACTGTATGATCCCAACGCCACGGCGTACACGCCCACAGGGAGCACCTATTTCATGCTAACGAGCATTTTCCCAGTCTTCTCTCTCTCTGGATTCTAAGGTCCACATCATCCAAGTGCAGGCATTCGTGGTCAGGAGAATGTGGACGACAAAACACGATAAAGTAAAACTCCTTTACTTGCAGTAATATCCTTCCTGAGGGTAAACAGATGTTTCCATCATCCCTCTGTTTTAAACACAGCTTCACTGGTTTTACACTACATCAAGGCAGGGTAATGGAAAGTGTGAGTGTGTGTGTGAGTGTGTGTGTGTGTGTGTGTGTGAGTCGCTCAGTTGTATCTGCCTGTGAATCCCATGGACTGTAACCCACCAGGCTCCTCTGTCCATGGGATTCTCCAGACAAGAATACTGGAGTGGGTTGCCATTCCCTCCTCCAGGGGATCTTTCTGACCCAGGGAACGAACCCTGGTCTACGCTGTAGTGGATTCTTTTATCATCTGAGCCACCAGGGAAGCCCTCATGGATAGAACCAGAGATGCAGTATAACTTTTTAGTTTATATTGTGTGATTACCCAAAACATCCATTATGACAATGCTGACAGTTTACCGAGAGAACATTTCATGCCTTCCTTATCAAATGATCTATCAGCACACTTTAGTTCCCATTAAGCAAACAGAGTACTAAATCTCTTTCTGGTACTCATTAAAAGAAAGCACTTCAAAATAAAATTTTTCTTTATATGACTGCTTCAAAACAAGATCTGATTAAGTAATAAAGGTTATTTTGTAAATCAAACATGAAAATCAATCTCATTATTTCATATCACACATACTACATACATATACATTTACTTTAATAGAGCTTTATGAATATCAACTCTTTTTCATATATATATAAACATGACTGGAAAGCTGATTTACAACCAACAGTTTGATTCATAACCAGTCTACAGTTTACACAGCATGAATCCAAATATTTAAGTGCTCAAATTTGCTTTAGATTACAGCATTATAAATTAGAAAGTCAGTTTTAGCTTATTCAGATTCTAATTCCAGTCATGCTACTAAATAACAATGCTTCTACCCTAGCCAAACTGGTTAACCTCTAAATTCTAAGTATTACATATTTGAAATGACTCTGGAGTAGATCAAATTTCTCAGATCACATTCTTGATCACAGAAGTCACTCTGAACACTTGTTTAAAAATACACGTCCCAGGGACTTCCCAGGTGGTCCAGAGGTTAAGACTCCATGCTTCCACTGCAAGGGACATGAGTTCGATCCCTGGCTGGGGATCCTGCATGCCTCGAGGTGACGCGACCCTCTTCTAAGGCCCCAGGCTAGGAGCTCTACCTGGAGCGCCGGGGAGTCTGCGTTCAAAGTCCCCTGGACTGTGTTCCCCAGGCTGCTCCGGACTGGCAAGTTTTCTACTGCACACAGGTCAGCTCTGATCTCTGAGGCTCTTTCCAGCTATGAAATTCATAGAATTTAAGATTTTATGACACGGATCAAATCCACCAGCCCAACCCGATGAGAGCAAACGCAGGACACATGCAACTTCATTTTGCTGCAGAGGAAAGTTCAAAAGCTACAAGCCCCATCTGGCTCCACTGGCTTCAAGTCCCTCAACCTCCGAGTCCTCCTACGCACTAGCACCTGTGCGGACAGGCAATCCGACAGACGGCCTGCTTCAGGTTAGGGCATGCTGTGGTTCCAGGGCACACAAGTCGCCATAGGTTTAACGCCGACTGGAGCACTGACGGTAGGTCTCGGAGCCTGCGCTTCCGCCGGGCGACAGTGCACACGTTCCATCTGGGCTCCACTCCTGGACGTGTAACAGGCACGCTGTGTCACAGGTTCAGCCCCTCCGCCCACCTTACAGGTTACAAGTGTGTGCTGAAGAACAGCCAGTATACATCCAAGCTATTCAAATACACGATTCCTGAAAATACTTTTCCATTGAGATAAATATAAAGGGACATATTTTAAAGGGTATACTCTCAAAATCTGTCTTTAAATGCACTCTAATGGAAAGGATATATTCTCCAACAGGTGTTCTCACTTTTTCTTTAAAAAAAAAAAGAGGCATTTCTTTCAAACCCCACCCACCCCCAAACATAATATCTGTTTAGTCGAACCTGCCTCATACTTGTAATGACATTTCTGCTACCACTACATATTTTTTCCCTGGCTGAGAGGTGGCATATAGAAATAAAAGACTCCAAAGCAAGATAATTTAGAAGTGGGAGGTGCAGTGGGGGTCATTGTATCTAGTGCAATTAAACATACTATTTTTCACTACACTTCTCAAAATGCAGGACAAGGAAGGATACTGATTCTTATTACTCTAAAACCAAAAAGAATGATTTCTTAAGAACAAAGTTTTTACTAGAACTCTTGAGAAATTTTCTCACACAGGTCTTAGAAAAATAGTAATAGTATAACGTCATCAATCAAAACTTCATAGCAACTGGAAAACCTTAAATCCAGTTGTAAGAAAAACTGAAAGTATACAGTTAAAACACAGATCAGTAGGTGTGACACAGCAAGGGGGGAAATGACGTAGTCCAGCATGAGTGTCTGAGGCCCACAGACAGAAGCCAGACCCAGAGAGGCAGCGGCCATACCCTTTACATCACGTTCCTTAAACCTCAGCTCCTGGAAAGTGAAACTGAAGTGAAAGTTGCTCAGTCGTGTTCAACTCTTTTTGACCCCATGGACTATACAGTCCATGGAACTCTCCAGGCCAGAACACTGGACTGTGTAGCCTTTCCCTTCTCCAGGGATCGATCCCAGGTCTCCGACATTGCAGGTGGATTCTTTTCCAGCTGAGCCACAAGAGAATCCCAAGAATACTGGAGTGGGTAGCCTATCCCTTCTCCAGCGGACTTTCCTGACCCAGGAATCAAATTGGCGTCTCCTGCAACGCAGGCGGATTCTTTCCCAACTGAGCTATCAGGGAAGCCCTCAATTCCTGGAGTCAGATTTAATAGCAAGATCAATACAGAGTGAAAGTAACCTAATGGGAATGCAAAGAGTAGTCTACCAAACCTGTATCTTCACACACACAAGCTGCACTAGGAAAAATAATGAAGATAGTGTGGTAAGTCTGTTTCATTCTTATTAGAGAGGATGTAAAGTAGATAACCTTCTCTGAGGATGAGCAGGCCGTGTGACGTGTACCACTGGTACCTGAAAGAATTGGTAGTGGGCAAACACAGATGCAGACTCAGCATCATGGACATGCTCTATAACCATCCCCTTGGTCTGAGCTGTGGAAGCAAAAGCAGTCAGAGCAGGAGTGTCCACCGAGTGCAGCCACTCTAGAGAGCGGATGGTGAGCTATCGCGGGGTCCCCTAAGCAGAGTTCTGCTCAGTCCTGGGACCTGCAAGCTGCTCACAGGCACCACGCAGGTGTGCAAACCTCAGAGGGAACTGTGAGGTGAACCTGCAGCTGTCAGCAGGAGGTCAAGATCTCCTACCTGACAAGAAACATTCTTTGTTTTCCTCAATGATTCTGCAGTTTAATAAATCTATTACTAAATTAACTAAAATTTTCTCGAGACGTTATTCTACATTTCTTGAAGGTAATAATAGGTTGTTTTAAAGAGAAAACAGGCAGAAAGCAAAGGTAGGTCAATCACCTCTTCTAGTGCTATATTTGGTAAACTAATTTTCACTCATCCTTCTGCAATCTCATAACTTCATAGTCTCCTACAGATACCTCTCTCCTCTCCTCCAAGGAAGACAACCAGTCTCATACGAGAGCCTGATCTAACCCAATGTGCCAATGAGTCACTATTCTAATGCCATTCTCGACACTCAGGATTCTGTAAACTCGAGTTCAAGCAGTACCACAGACTGACGCAGGACACAGCAAACCCCAGCACTTGCGTGTCCCTGGAGCTGCGGGGAGGAAGGGCCTGCCTGCTCGGCCCAGGCCAGCACACAGCCCTGCACTGCGTGTTCTCCACAAGAATGCATTCACGGTTATTAAATAAAGTCAAATACCGAGCACACAGAAATCTACCAAGAGGTCATTCAAGCATATAGACGAACACTCATAACTCCCACCTCTTTCCTAAGGAGAAGACAAGGATGCCCTTTACATCTCTTACAGTCTCTGGGATGGAAAAAAGTAAGCTTTTAAACTGGGGGGAAAAGAAAAATCACTTTAGTTGGAAATTATGTGATTGTTTCTCCCGGGTATTAGAACGGCACCAAATATTACAAAATAGTTCATTAACCTCTTCCTTAATCGGATCACTTTGCTACACACCTGAACTACAACACTGTAAATCAATCATACTTCAACTCTTTAAAAAAAAAATTCCATTTGCAAACGAGGTTTATGAGGAAAAGATGATTTTTAAACTCCAGGCAGAGATGGCAGTGCAAGTGTAAACCTAGGTCCCTCAGCTGTGTAACATAATTTGCGCTCAGAAGCACACACGGCATTGAAACATATATACTACCAAGGGTGAAACAGATCACCAGTCCAGGTTGGATGTATGAGACAAGTGCTCAGGGCTGGAGCACTGGGATGACCCAGAGGGATGGGATGGGGAGGGAGGTGGGAGGGGGGTTCAGGATGGGGAACACATGTAAATCCATGGCTGATTCATGTCAATGTATGGCAAAACCCACTACAATATTGTAAAGTAATTAGCCTCCAACTAATAAAAAAATGAAAGAAAAAAAAAGCACGCACGTCAAACACCATCATTGTGGGCACAGAAGACTCACCATCTGGATGGGCTTCTTGTGGAGGTCTCGCTCTGTCACCAGCTTTTCCTGGTCGGTGACATAGAGGCCCTTCTGAGCTAAGGCCTGGATGACGGCGTCGTGACCCAACAGGGGCTTCGCGGCGTCGCTCCTGAGGATGAGGCTGCCGGCGCGGCAGTACAGCTCGGCGGAGAGCAGCAGGCCGACCACAGGCGGCTTGATGTGCTCCTGGTCATACTGGTCCGTGTAGAATGGCTCTCGGAGCTCCTCTGGCACATTCTCTACAAAGATTAAGGGGGAGATGTTCTTACAAGATTTGCATAAAAGAAACAGTTTATTTAACAGTATCATTTATGTCCTAAAAGATTTCCTTTAGAAACAACAATAACCCTTTAACTGAAAAGATGGTTTATTTGACCAGGGCAGACAATCTGGAATGAGAAAGAGAGAGAACTTTCCTTCATGGAAGATGCTGTCCGAGTACATGACGAAAAGCCACTGCCAAGCATCATGGAGACACGTCTGCTGAGCCCAGTGACTCGGGGGAAAGCACTCCCACATGCACACTGGGACACGCAGGATAAGTGCAGAGTCTGAAAGCCCCGTCTCAGTGAATCCCCTCCCATTCAAGCGGCTAACCAGGAAAGGCGGTGTAACAGCCGTTTCGGGGACCCAGGCCTCGACACCTGAGAGTGTAACATCGTCTGCCCACCGCCCACTGTCCCCTTGCCTCTCCCGCCCTGCTTGGCCTGCTGAGGGGCAGTTAGAGCTGAGGCTCAGGAAGAACCACCCTCAAACATCCCGAACACCAGAAAACCCGGTCACTACACCAACCCACTGACCACCTCCGTCCGACCCCACCGAAACCCTCCCGGAAGCCTGACTGATCTGTTCTGGGGAGGGAGACAGGCAGCTGAGCAATGGGACCAGTCTCTGAGCATCTCTCTGGAGGCCAGGCCATGCCCCAGGAAGAAGGCCCGGCGAGAATGAGCATCGGACCCCTGAGGAAAGGCAGGCATCTGAGCAGGAGGCCCATGTGGAGCCCCAGTCACAGAACCCAGGCAGCTGCCAGCCAGGCCTCATCTGCCTTCTCCAGAGAGCCAGGGCTCACAGCCACCCACTGCCAATTTCAGGAGCTTCCTGAAGAGACAGCTTTAGTGTAAGCTCAGTAATGTCACAGCACGAACAGAAGTCCAAAGAGCATATTCACAAATATTTATATACTCTGTAGCAATTTTACCTTAAAGCTTTTGAAGTCCAATCATTTAGAAAAATACTTTCATCAAATAATAGTATTATAATTACTGCACGTTCATTTTCTATACCAGTATGGGTTCTGGGGAATTCAAGCATTTAGAAATAATCCCAATACCCAAGGACTTAATAATCTACAAATAGTCTAGACAAGTCAAGTTTGTCAATTTGGAAACGAGTCAACAGTAAGCAACAAACGACCCAGCACAAAATGTAAGAAACCAAGTGTGTGCTTCAAGTTCAAAGCAGTAAGCACCATGGTAGGCTGACCCAACTGCATCCAGAAAAACAGGAGGGGAAGAGCAAGCAGAAATTGCATCAGAGGGGGTAGAGAGGGTCTCTAAACAGGAGGGGACAGAGAGAAGAGGAAGAGAGTAGACCCAACAGCTCAGGCGGACAGAGGGTTTCGGCAGGAGGNCTGCTCCCTGAGAAATCTGTATGGAGGTCAAGAAGCAACAGTTAGAACTGGACATGGAATAACAGTCTGGTTCCAAATTGGGAAAGGAGTACGTCAAGGCTCTATATTGTCACCTTGCTTATTGAACTTCTATGCAGAGTACATCATGCGAAATGCTGGGCTGGATGAAGCACAACCTGGAATCAGATTTCTGGAAAAAATATCAATAACCTCAGATATGCAGATGACACCACCCTTATGGCAGAAAGTGAAGAAGAACTAAAGAGCCTCTTGATGAAAGTGAAAGAGGAGAATGAAATAGTTGGCTTAAAACTCAACATTCAGTAAACTAAGATTGCGGCATCTGGTCCCATCACTTCACGGCAAATAAACAGTAGAAACAGTGTCAGACTTTACTTTTTTGGGCTCCAAAATCACTACAGATGGTGACTGCAGCCATGAAATTCCATGAAATTAAAAGATGCTTGCTCCTTGGAAGGAAAGTTATGACCAACCTAGACAGCACGTTAAAAAGCAGAGACATTACTTTGCCAACAAAGGTCCGTCTAGTCAAAGCTATAGTTTTTCCAGTAGTCATGTATGGATGTGAGAATTGGACTATAGAGAAAGCTGAGTGCCAAAGAATTGATGCTTTTGAACTGTGGTGTTGGAGAAGACTCTTGAGACTTGGACTTCTTGAGACTTCTTGGACTTGCAGTCCCTTGGACTGCAAGGAGATCCAACCAGTCCGTCCTAAAGGAAATCAGTCTTGAATATTCATTGGAAGGACTGATGCTGAAGCTGAAACTCAAATACTTTGGCCTCCTGATGCAAAGAACTGACTCATTGGAAAAGACCATGATGCTGGGAAAAATCGAAGGCGGGAGGAGAAAGGGATGACAAGATGAGATGGTTGGATGGCATCACTGACTCAATGGACATGAGTTTGAGTAAACTCTGGGAGCTGGTGATTGACAGGGCGGCCTGGCGTGCTGCAGTCTATGGGGTCACAGAGAGTCAGACACGACTGAGCGACTGAACTGAACAAGGAACTGCCGACAGTTGTACAGGAGGAAAGTGACCCATTATGACTGATGTCTGGGGACAGTTAATCTAGTATTCAATACTGATGGTGATAAAAATCAGAGACAGAAGGCTGCAGAGACTAGGAAATGACGTGGGAAGGAGGCAGGGCAGCGACACCAACAGGAAGGGAAGGACAGGGACAAACCCCGAGGGCCCAGGCACAAAGCAGAGAGAAGGGGTCAGACGGCACCCAGAGATGATCAGGGAAAGAGGCGCATCACTGGACAGACGAAGGGAAGTCAGAGGAAGCATCCACGCCAAAAGCAGGACCATGACCTCAGCTCCAGACACGCTGAGTTTGGAACAACAGCAAAAATACCCTGGGGATACTGGACTGTGGAAAGAGGTCAAGAGTAGATGGACCAATTTGGGATTTTGGAGACATCTAAAAATATCATCCTCATTTAATAATCGAAAACTCTTTCCTTTCCTTCAGAGCCGCATTAACCAGCTGTGAGCCAGCCTTAAACCTGACAGACTCCGCAGGGTGATGGTAAGCTTCGTCATAAACTACGGAATGCAGGGTCAGTGTTCATTTAAATTCTTGTATCCCAGGAACTAAACGGAAGCTACTAGTAGAACAAATTTAAAAGGGAAATCATTTGATTTTAAGATTATTATAAAATGTATACATGATAGATTTTTTCCTCTCAACAGTGAAAAGTGATTAATACACGTAACTTAGTACCTAAACAACAGTTGTGCAAACTGACTGCTCACCATCTGTTTACAAACTTCTCCACCACACCTGTACATCCATTTACATTTACATACTACATTTACATCCTTCCCCACCCATGAGCTTTATTACAACTCGGTGAAACTGTCAAATCAGACAATATACAGAAAAATATTAGGACTGCGTTAATACTTAAAAAGGGTTGTTATGGCTGTCATAAATATGCATTCTGTCTTTAAATACGACCAATCCACTTGTCCCTATTTTAGATATAAGGAACTCAAGAAAGGTATTGTGCTAAAGGTACACAGCTAATAAATACAGAATCTTAACCCTAAACCATGTAGCTAAACAGATTCAAAAATAACAATGGTCTGCCAGGATCACCAAACTGGAAGGTGGAAGAAGACAGCTTAGGGGCTATTTTCATTGTGCTATGATGTACCCACAAGTCTAAGTTATGAAAGCATAAGTTTCAAAAAGATTTCAATGCAAGGAGAAGGGAAAGGAGCCATAGCGAGTCTCAGAATGTTTTAAGAATATGACAAAAACAGATCATTCCATCCCTAAAGAATGCAAAACTGCATACTGAGTATTGTAAAGTAGGTCACTTTTAAGAATAAGACTTCAAGAACTGCATATGCTGAAAAGACAACTTCAAAAATGTCTATCATTTTGCAAACAGTACAAAACTGTCATTCTTTAAAAAAACAGTTTGGAGTTGTATCACATTTTAAAACAAATGAACTGAAACCGCATATTAGAAAATAAATAGGCAAAATCAAAGATAAGAAGTTTCACCCTCCCCCTCATCTCCAGAGTACAAGATAAGAAATTAATACTTCAGAAAACTGAAACTCCACTCCCAGAATTGCAAAGGGGCAAAGACAAGTTTTTCTTGTGTACCAGGACTTAAGCAAGAACCTACCATACTCATGTTATTATAAATAAATCCTGGCTAGAGCAAAGCTTTGAAATTCACAATCAGCTGAAAGGCTTGGGCACAGGCAGAGAGCACAGAACAGTCCTGTTCAAGGCCCTTTTCTAAGAAGCTAAGTTAGTACTAGTAATAGTTGCATCCATACACCAGCAAAAAACTCAAATTTCCTTAAACAATGACTGGTTGGGGGGTATGAGGGGAATGCATTTCAGAAATGTCACTACTCAGCCAGGGGAATGCTGCGTTAATTTCCAAATCTAAAAATTGTGTCTAAAACAATTAATTACTAAGACAGAATTTGTGAGTATCAAAAACTCCAAGTGAAAGTAAACCCTAGACCTTGAACTCTTAAATTAAGCAAAAGACACAAAAATGGTCAGTAACATTAAAAAAAAAAAAATCCTAGTACCAGTAATCAAAGATTAAGTTACAAAGAGTCTGCCTATCAGAATAAGGAGCAGTTGCTAAGCCCACAGCTGACAAGCAGGCGCTCACCCAGGCCAAGGCCTCTTATTCCCACCACTCACCCCAGCAGCTCAGTGCCTGACCCACAGGAGCGCGCAGTGGACGTCTGATGGTTGAAAACGTTACTTTATAAAAGTTTAGTCACTGGCCTTGTTCTAAAGATACGCAGATTTCAAATTTCCCCTCAAGTCCCAGATTCTGCACTAGCAACCCCAATATACTCCTCCTATCTGCTTTGAAAGCCCTGAGAATTCCCTCTAGGCCACCTGACTTCTGCAGCAGCATTCCCTCTCAAAACCTGAGTCGTCTTCAGGTAGCCTAGTTCACCAGCAGCAGGAGTCAGCATGGCAGAGCAGGGAAGGCTGGCGCCCTGAAGCCCTGTCTTACTTGATGGGGTCCCCTGAGTGCAGGCATCCCCTCCCCAAGTTCAGGCCACCCCCTGCTGCCCACATGTGTCATG